CATGTCATCACGCAATTGGCAATCACCCAACCTCACCTCCTCCTCCCATTAGGTTTTATCTAAACCACCCTCTTCCTCCCCCATGATCACCCCACCTTCCTGTCCACCACTTGGTTGTGGAAGCCTCTTATCCCACAGGTAGAAGGTGGTTGCTCTTCTTCCGAAAAACCTTCCCCTTGTCTCATTTGTTACTTCTCATCCCACTCACTCCATCCTCCAAAACCACCCCACAATCTAATTTACCCTTGCAATCATTTGGCTCTCTGGAGCAGCTGAGTCATTGAAGGCTTTCAGCTGTCACCACTGCTCCTTCTCTGATCATGACAGGAGCCCGAGCCAAGTCGTGACTCAACAGTTTACAGCCTCTAACCAGGAACTGCCAAGAGCCTTGTGTCCTCAAGATGGTTCCTCCATTCCTGGCTGACTCATTTTCTCCCTCCCAGTGACTGGACAGGACAGCTCCATGAACACACCACTGTGGCCAGCTGGCCAGCCAGGACTCAGGCGGGCAAGACACACACATGTTCTTTATTCTCCTCTGGCTGAACCAAATCAAGCCTGATTCTGTCTCATCATTCTTAGGGAAACTAAGTCTAATGAATAACTTCCCAGTCTGTTCAAGATAGCAAACTAGTCATATTCAGGCATTTCCTTTTTCCCAGGCTCGTTACCACTGCCTCTCCTCCCGCAGGCAGGTGCTAAAACTTCAGGCAGTGGACACCCCTGTGGCGATGGGGGAAGAGCTGCCCTTGGCCTGTCTCCTTCCTTCCACAGCTGTATCCTCATGGCTCTCAGGTCTCACCAACAGCTATCCACTCTGACCCCACTGCTTCCACAAAGTATCTGCAGCTTCACCATAGCCTGGTCCACACCATCCCCTTCATTCTTCTGCAACTTTTTGTGGGCTTCCCAGGCCTTTCAAAAGCCCATAAGAAACTTGGGGCTATTTGTGTGTACTTGTTCTGCTCAGATCATCCCACTTGCTGTCATCTCTGCAAGGCTGTTGGCCAACAGAGCCCCAGAAGGGATTGGAAAGCACAAGTCTGCTCCCCGCCCCCCAGGGATCCCCAAACTAAAGAGGAGCTTGATCCATCCCTATCACTGCATCTTGGCCCAGGATACCTGCCATCATGACTGACCTTCTTGATTCTCTCTCCAAACTCCACTCTCTCTTCCTTTCCGGAATTTTTAGATCTAACAAGAGGTAGGGGAGAGTTGAGAACCAGCCTTGTCCACATGGACTCATCTTCTTCCTCAATTATTCTGCCTCGTGCTTTTTGGACTTAGAAATCAAGAATTCAACTGGTTCTTAGGTTCATCAGGAATCCCCAAACACTGGGTGATTTATGTTGAGCTGCCTGGGTGTGGTGGGAAGGTCTTTGGAGCATAATGAGCAGGCACAGCATTCAATGAGCATCTAAAAGGAAAGCAAACCAGTCAAAGCACCATATATCATCCCACCACAATACAGTCTTAGGATGGGATATCTGCTCCTGGAATTCAGGATTGGAGTTTCCTTCCTCCGAGCAGGACTTTCTTCTCTTAGCCTCTGGTGGTGATGGTATCCCAGAGGGCCAGCTGGCCTCCAGAACGCTGGCGGGCCATGATGCCTGTGCGGAATTCTTTGATGACAAAGTAGTAGCAGAAAACATCCAGGCAGCAGTTGATGTTGGAGAGACACATGGACAACTGTAAGAACAAGCTGATGTTCCATTTAGCTCTGCACTCCACAATAAAGCCATTCCTCACCAGGAACTGCAAGAAGAAACCGAGGTGGATCGGAAGAAAGGAGACCACAAAGACAGCCAGACTGGATGCAATAGTCCAGATGCAGGCCCTCTGCTGGCCCCAATCTTGGCTGTGGTCCAGGCGGCCAACCAGAATGTGAATGCTCCTGAAGGAGCAGAAACCCATGATGCCCATGGGAAGAAGGAAGCCAAACACCTCGAGAGGGAAGAAGACCTTGGCACTCCAGGTGTCATCAGACATATTGTGGAAGCATGTATACCCTTTTTCCACTTTCCCATGGAAGTTGTAGATGGGGATACTCCCAACCCACACCAGGACCCAGATGGTGAAGCAGATCCCAAAAATCTTCCTAGGGGACCGGCAGTGGCTGACCAGGATCGGGTACCGGATGGCCAAGAATCTGTCCAGGCTGATGAAGCAGATCGTGAAGACACTGCCATACATGCTGATAAAGTAGAGGCACTCCACAAACGTACAGAGAGATTGTAAGGGAACCTTCACATGGCCCAGGGCAACCTTGAATGGGAGCGAGAGCACCAGCAGGAGGTCAAAGACCGCCAAGTTGATCATGTAGATGGAGGTGGCAGCATACTCCGGCCACCTCTTCTTCAGGAAGGTGCGGAAGCGTTGGATGGCCAGCACATTGAGAAGTAGACCCAGGAGGAAGGTGGGGATGTGCACCGCCAGCTGCACGGTTCTCATCAGCTCATCCACTTCATGCAAGGAGCAGTTCTTGCTTTTGTTTGGCTGGCTCATGTTCTTCCCTACAACATCAACAATAGATTAGATGAAGTTCCTCTCAATCTCTAGAAGTGATGGATTCATATGACTTTGTCAAGAATGATAAACACTTCCCCTTTATCACCCAGCAATTGAATGCTCATTGAATAACCATTAGAAAACATAGGGAATAAAAATTATCTCTAATTCTGCTGCCTAGATGTAACTGTTCCTATTTCATGTATATCATTCCCGACTCTCTCTTTTCACACACACTCACACACCACATGTGTGTGCCTTTTTCTTTTACAAAAATAAAATTTTGCATGAACATTTCTCTTTTTTTCAATCAAAACTCCTTCTGTCGAAAGTAGTAATGACACAAACCTTAACCCAAACCAGTTTAAGCTAAGAGAGAATATATATATATATATATATATATATATATATATATATATATATATATATATATATATATAAAAGCCTAAGTGACCATCCGACCATTTGACCACCCCACCGGTATCTATGATGCACACTGACCACCAGGGGGCAGACACTCAATGCAGGAGCTGCCAAACTGCGGTTCTCAGGTGATACACCAGGAACCAGAGAGAAGGGAGCCTGATTCTGGGGTGTGTCAAATGAGTACCACCCTCTTGCAATCTGGGGCCCCTCTGGGGGATGTCGGAGAGCTGGTTTTGGCCTGATCCCCGCAGGCCAGGTCAAGGGACCCTACTGTGCACAAATACGTGCACTGAGCCTCTAGTTTAACATAATGGAAAACATGAAAACACAAGTCAGGGCTGACTTGAGCTCCTCTTTCCCTCTGCTCTTTTCCACTCACATTCCCGAAGGTTCGACAGAATTCACCCTGCCTGACTGTAGGGCTGGTCACAATCAGTGCACCACACTCCTCTGAACTCAGTGACTGGGTCTTTGGTTCAGGGATGGACACCTGACTCACACAGAGGTGATGAAAAGCAATGAAACTCTTGCTTGGGTTTCTAGGCAGGGGGGTGGGGCTCCTTCTGTAGGATTTGAAGTTGGGACGATGTAAGGTCTGGAGCTGCTGTAAGTTCTTGCTATCCCATGGAGAAAACTAGACAAAAATGGAGAAATATGGAAGAAAGGACATTCCCAGAGGGAAATGAAGAAGTAAGGGCCTGTGGTCTCCACAGGGCAAAGAAAGGCCTTTAGACAGGTGAACGACTAGAACTGGTCCCAGGGTCAAGAAGACCAAGTCTGCGGCATGACTGCACAGGGCTTATGTGACTTGACTGTACCAGGTGTATGTGTGGATAATAGACAAGATTTGGCTGTCAGTATTCTCCAGTAGGACCATCCTAAAGGTCACATTAAAATTACTGAGACTTAAAATGGGAACTTTTCAAATGATAATCTTTGAAGCCAGAGAAAGCACTCTATGGACTGGCAAAAGGGGAAGGGGGTATGTGGGGATTAACCAAAAAATTTATATGCATATATGCATAACTCATAGACAGACAATAGTGCTGTGAAGGCCTGGGGAGGGGGCAGGAGTGGGGTGGAGAGGGTCAATGAGGGGGAAAAAGGGGACATTGGTAATACTTTTAACAGTAAAGATAAATTTTTTTAAAAGCACAAAATAAATTCTAAGTATTATTTGAAAAAAGTACATCATTAAATAGAATTCAAAGAGACATTGGCAAAGATACATTGTAGTGGCAAACTTTAATATACTATCAATTTGAACACATCAAGTAGGCAAATATAAATTAGGATATAGAATTATATAAGTAGTATAATGAATACAATTTAATTATTAGCTCTTGGATTTGGTTTTAAACCAAATATCGAATAAACAGTTGCCAAAGTAATTCTCTGCCTAGCAAGAATAAAACCTTCCATTAAAAAAAAAAGCGGAAATTATGTTGGCTATGTTCTCTGACCACAATATGCCAAAAACCTAGGAAATAAAAAATAGAATTGGCTATTTACAAATAAGTAAAGTCGGAACTACAAAACAAAACTCCTGGGATATAATCTGAAATGACAAGAACTTTCTGAATTGGTTATTTAAATATATATATAAATATAAAATCAGGAAGCAGCCAAAACTATTCTGAGAGATGCATAGCTCTCACAGCCTTTTCTCTTTGTATGAAATGTTTTGATTAATTATGAGCCATTGACCAGTACAGACTTTAAGCCTTAATATTTCTTCTTTCCTGTGTAAAACCAGATCATTAACACTGTCTATTCCACGTAAGGCAGAATACCATAGTGTGAATGCAAGTAATAGTAACGTCTGCTCACACGTCTGCAGGCTTCACTAAAGTTAAGAACTAGAGTGCGCCCTGTTTCTCAAGTCAGCAAAGCAAATTCAGTTACACATTTTTCCTGCTCGTAGTTTCAGTTGAAATACAACAAATACTACTTTGCATCTCAATAGCACTTCTTATCCATCACACAAGCCCTCTTCTCTACCCTCACCATTCTTGTGAGGTAGTGAAGGGAGGGAGCGAGGACTTGTCCTTTTTTTAGAAGAGAAAACTTAAGGTTAATTTTGAACTCGACCTTGGCAACCTATTGAAAATTATCTAGAAAGTTTTATTTTTTTAAATTAAATCTTTATTGTTCAGATTATCACAGTTGTTCCTCTTTTTTCCCCCCATAGCTCCCCTCCACCCGGTTCCCACTCCACCCTCCGCCCTCACCACCCGCCCCCCACTGTCCTCATCCATAGGTGTAAGATTTTTGTCCAGTCTCTTCCCGCATCCCCCACACCCCTTTCCCCCTGAGAATTGTCAGTCCACTCCCTTTCTATGCCCCTGATTCTATTATATTCACCAGTTTATTCTGTTCATCAGATTATTTATTCACTTGATTTTTAGATTCACTTGTTGATAGATGCATATTTGTTGTTCATAATTTGTATCTTTACCTTTTTCTTCTTCCTCCTCTTCTTAAAGGATACCTTTCAGCATTTCATATAATACTGGTTTGGTGGTGATGAACTCCTTTAGCTTTTCCTTATCTGTGAAGCTCTTTATCTGACCTTCACTTCTGAATGATAGCTTTGCTGGATAAAGTAATCTTGGTTGTAGGTTCTTGGCATTCATCACTTGGAATATTTCTTGCCATTCCCTTCTGGCCTGCATAGTTTCTATTGAGAAGTCAGCTGACAATCTTATGGGTACTCCCTTGTAGGTAACTAACTGTTTTTCTCTTGCTGCTTTTAAGATTCTCTCTTTGTCTTTTGCTCTTGGCATTTTAATTATGATGTGTCTTGGTGTGGTCCTCTTTGAATTCCTTTTGTTTGGAGTTCTCTGTGCTTCCTGGACTTGTAAGTCTATTTCTTTCACCAGGTAGGGGAAGTTTTCTGTCATTATTTCTTCAAATAGGTTTTCAATATCTTGTGCTCTCTCTTCTTTTGGCACCCCCATAATTCGGATGTTGGTATGCTTGAAGTTGTCCCAGAGGCTCCTTACACTATCTTCATATTTTTGGATTCTTTTTTCTTTTTGCTTTTCCTTTTTTTACAAAAGGAAATTAAATAAATGAATTGAGCACTCAACTTAAACATTTAGTATTTAGAAAAACAAAAACAAAAAAGTGGTAGAGAAATCAGAAATAAAATTACAAAGATTAAAACTGAAATAAATGAATTTTAAAAAGAGGAAAATACCAGAATTCATAAATTTAATAGCTGGTTTCTGGGGGAGGGGAGTAAATAAAACAAAGCATATGTCTCCAACAACTATGATAAAGAAAAAAGACTCAAATGATCATAACTAGAAGTGAAAGCACAGGTGTTAGAGGAAGAGAAGAGGAAAAAAAAGAAATAAATTATCTTATCATGTGAGTGCTAATTCATTAAAAAACCTTAATGTGGTTGATGATTTGAAGGCAAAACATAATGTAGTTGATGATTTTGGAAGCAAAACATAATTTACCTTGATTGATACAAGAGTGAACAGAAGAAGTATTGATTGATTAGACCAACCACCATGAAAGAAACTGAGAATGCTATCAAAGAATTACTCTTACCCAGGCTCTAGCTCATTTTTTAAAAAAATATATTTTATTGATTTTTTACAGAGAGGAAGGGAGAGGGATAGAGAGTTAGAAACATCGATCAGCTGCCTCCTGCACACCCCCCACTGGGGATGTGCCCACAACCAAGGTACATGCCCTTGACCAGAATCGAACCTGGGACCTTTCAGTCCGCAGGCTGACGCTCTATCCACTGAGCCAAACTGGTCAGGGCAAGCTCATTTAAAATGTCAAGAAACAGCTAATTCCCATGCTCTAAAAATAATTTCAGAACATAAGATAATATTAATGAATTTGTGTTATGAAACCAACTTACCCGAATATCAAAACTTGACCGATGTAGCACAAAAGAGAAAAGCTATTGTTCAAATGACCAAATCCGTTTCACTGTTAGGAAATCTATTAACATTGTATTAACATTGTGTATTACATCATTAAAGCAAAAATGAAAAGCCCTCTGCTTTATCGGTAGATAGTTTTACACAAAGTCGTTTAAATGAAGGGATAGAAGGATACTTCTTACACATGATAAAGAGTAACTTGTTTACACCATTGGCCAACTTTGCATTTAATGGTTAAAACAAACAAACAAGCAAACAAAAACAGTCATTTTTGAAATTGCCAATAAGACACTTGCCTATACCCAGAAGTTCCAAAGATGCATTAAGACAATGGAATAAATAATAGAATGGAAGGTTTGGTCAATAAATGATGTTGAAACTATCAGTAAAAACCAACTTAAATTTCCATCTCACACTGTAGAGCCAAAGAAATCCCCAATTCATTAGTGAATTAATTAAATTTTAAAAAAATCAAGCCATAGAAAAGGTAGATGAAAATTTAATGGACAACTTATGGAAGAAAGCTCTTTGTCATCTTAGAATGATTAAAAAGCAAAAGAATAAAAAAAAAAAAAACAGACACAAGTTTGACCGCACAAAATTTAAAAAAAAAACAAAAAAAAAAAAAAACATTTTAGCATCAAGTAATATGCTGGAGGAAAGAAAATGCAATAAATGTTAGATGAATGATGTTCTTTCTCTATGAAGAATATAAAAATGTATAATATTAAGATCCTCAATAGATCAGTAGATAAAGGGCATAAATAGACAGTTCTGAGAAAAGGATTTAAAAAGAGATAAAATTTTTGCTTATCGAATTTAAAGAAGCTGGTGACATGAGACAGTCACGGATATGCTGGTGAGTATACAAATTAATATACTTTTGGGGTTTGATGACTTATGTTATGAACCATAGAAATCATATTTGTCTTTCATCCAGTGATTCTTAAATTTTACCGTAAGTAAGTTATGCAAAAAATTGGGTACAGAAATAAGTTCATTTTAACATTTTTTTTTCTGGTAGCAAAAAATACACACTCATATTTACCATAAATACCAACAACACCTTATTTTCACTTTGATAAATCTAATCAATGAAACATTTTCTGTCTGTTATGTTTATATTCATTATGTTAAGTAAAAACTCCACAAACTGCAGAATTGTACATTCAGAAAATGATTTCAACTATGATTTTTTTTTAAAAAACACCCGTGCTTAGGTGGGGAAAAACCCTAGAAAAAGAATTTCCATATGTCAAACATAGACTGCATTCTAACAGATTGTGGGTGATTTTTAAATATTTTATCGTTATCTCTTATCTTTCGTTTATGTGTGTGGGGGGGTATTTTTTAAAAATATATTTTTATTGATTTCAGAGAGGCAAGGAGAGGGAGAGAGAGATAGAAACATAAATGATAAGAGAGAATCATCGATTGGCTGCCTCCTGCACACCCTGTACTGGGATCGAGGCCTGACCGGGAATCAAACCTCGACCTCCAGGTCTATGCTCAACCACTGAGACATGCTGGCCGGGCTGTGTGTGTATTTTTAATTAATTAATGATAATAGAAAAACAATTTAAATTTTTAATGTATTAAATGTTGGAGAAAAAGAAGAAAAATAATAGCTTTTGACTTCCCGTACAAGAAGAAAAGTCTTGGTGTGTGTTTGAGGCAGGGGTGGGAGGGAGGTTACACAAAATTTAAAGAGATGCTTTGAACTAACCAGTGCTCAGCTGATGAGGCAGGATCTTGGCAGGTCAAAGATGAACATTTCAACACATAGCATCTGAGAACAAAGCATAAATGACAGAGAATTGCAAGGGATAGAAATTGAAAGCAGGTGCCACTTATGAGATGAGAAAGGCATCAAGAACCTGATTATTGATAAAAAGTTTCACCTGCCAGCAGGTCAGCTATTACATCATAAAAATGGCACCTAACATAAAGAGTAAAGAACAGTACATGAGACGAAAAATGCCAGGTTGACAATGAAGACTGGGTGAAGGGAAGGAGCGACATTTAAATGTAATTCTCCCAGTGTTTAGAGAGCTATTCATAGAAACAAATGTAGAAGTTAAAAGTTAAATATTTCCTATATTGGACATTTCAGTTATATTATCTTGTATATTTTTAAAGGGACACAAGGAATATTCACAATAGAAACTGAAAATGAAAAAATGCACTGTCTCAATATAGAAAGCTGAGGGGCAACTCATGGGAGTTTACACAATAGAACAATTATAATGTAAACAGCACTCCGTCACCATTAGAATACTCCCTATAAAAGGGGGCATCCACTTAAAAAACCAAAACCTAATCTAAGTTTGTGGATACGAAGCACAGAGAAAACCAAAAGACATAGAGAGAGGAAACTGATAGGATAATCGATGGTTTTTCAGGCACACAGATACTAGAAAAGAAGGGACTAGGGCCATGTGATTCTTTTTAGTAAAAGGAATTCAGAGAGTAACATAGAGACTCCACAAAGGTAAAAGTTACAATAAATAATAAAACACTCAATTTATGTTCCAATGAGCATAGAAAAGAAGTACATAATGGGCACATGTCAGAAATGCAAAAAGAAGTAAAAATGGAGATATAATGGTAGGTAGAGGCCTTAATGCTCCCCTCTGGGAATATCATTGATCAAGTAGACAGAGAGATTTGGAGTTCTGAACAACCCAATTGCTAATAAGATACAATAGCTGATCAATAAGGACTAAATCGTAAATCAAGGGAATACACTCTCTTTGAGAGAGGACAAGGGTCTTCCACCGAATCTATCCCGTTCCTGGGCCCAGCCAAGCACTCCAAAGCCATGGCAGTGTTACCTTTTTCTTCTCAGACCACCAAGAAAACAACTAATAATATGTAAAAGGTAAGAGAGCAGACAGAGCAGACCTGGCCATTTGTGAGCTCTCTGTCACCAGAGGTATGCACACATAAACAATTTTTCAAAAAGCAAAACCCTGACATGGACTCTTCTGTCGATAAATGAATGTTTAGTGAATAGGAAAGAAAGCATCCATATGTGAAAAGGGACTGGGCTGGGCATCCGGAAGCCTGGCTCTGCTCCTGGCTCTCTCTGGCTGTGAGGCCTCCATCTGGGTTCTCTTATCCGAACAGCATTACTCATCCCTGTGAACCCAGAGCCTGTGGCCTCACCGAGCTGGCTCTCTTACTGCCAACTCGGCCCCGCGCTGGGCTGTGATTCCTGCAGCGCTTGTGCCCCGTGGTGCCCTTACCTGCCCATCTCAGCTGGGACAGGCCTGAGTCCATTTCTGTGCAGCTGGGGTACCTAAACCCAGCCGCATGCTGCAGACCAAGCCAACCTGCCTTGCATTGGCAGACTAGACTTTCCAGAAAACACCAGCCAGAGGAAGACTGCAACCTTAGGGGGTTTGCAGGCTAAGCAGGAATTCCAGAGACGGGAGGGCCAGGCCTGGCTGAGCAGAGTTGGATGTAGTTGGAGGAGGAATGCTCCCCAGACCAGCGTCATCCCATCCAGGTTCCTCACCTGCAATCCCAGCCACCCGCCCCCCCCGGGGGTGCAGTGCCGAATGCCACAGTTAGAACACAAATATTTACTTGGACGCAGTTATCTGCCACTAACACCGTAAACAAATTCACCAGTCCACCCCTGAGCTGGGCTTCTGGGGGACACGACGCAAGAAGGAACAGGACACAGAGGGGACAGAGCATGTAGACAGAATGTCCCTGAGTCCAGAACTTTGCTGGAACCGTACCCCTGAGCTTGGTGGCTTGACGTGGGGGCTCAGGAAGTGGAGGTGCCAGCTCAGGGGCTTGAGATGTGTTGAATGCTCTACAGGGGAACTTGGTACGTTCCTGGGACGTTGTTAGAGTTATGCCCATTTTACAGGTAAAGACAGTGAAGTAAAGAGTCTACCCCAGGCCAAGCAGGCAGGGAGGGGCCTCGCTGGAGCTCACATTCAGAGTCTCTCCTTCATTTTGTCCTCACCATGGTCCCCCACCAGCATCACCAGCATCCCAGGAGCTCCCTCCCAGTCCCCACTTCCGCCTGGCTCCACCTCACATCTCCTCCTCTCCCTCAGCACCTCTCCTCCCCTCCTAAGAACTCCATCCCTCCCTCCAAATGTCCAACTCCATGGTCCACCTGTGGTCCATCTGACAGGATTTCCTTGCTGTGACTGAGTAGGGGACATTAAAGTCACCTGTGTGCCATAGAGAGTCCTAGCAACCCCAGGACAGGGCCATGCCTCCTTCGTCCTGTATCACCCTGCCTCCCAAAAACAGCCCCCCGGGAAGTTCTAGCTAAATGAGGGGGGGACAAGTGAATGACCGGGTCTGTGGG